ATTTAGCATGTGGGCTGTTCTTTTCTTTATGCTCTTCGATTGAATTATGAGACTTCTTATGTACTATGAATAATTTTATGTAGTATGAGGTGAGTTTAGGGCAAAATTGCAATTGTATTACGTGCCCTGCAAAGAGTATCTCTATACCCCAAAGTCACAAAATGTATGCATCACTCTTCCAAATTCATGACACAAGTGGTAAGTGTGGAATCCAAAAATGGTTTGGAATAACCAGTACTAAGTTACTATTCTCAGTGCTAATACTTGATGCATGTTTGATCTATTATTCTCTTCTTGTTTACAGGGAAGACTAAGGTGGCATCTTTGCTTTTGCAAAATGGTGCTGATATAAATTCACAAACCAATGGCAAGCAGACACCCCTTCATTTTGCAGCAAGTGGGGTTGGTGGAACCTCCACATTGCAATTGCTTCTATGCAACAGATGGCTGGATGCCAGCCTCCTAAACATGCAGAATGAAACAGCACTGGATATAGCTAACCGAAGTGGACAGCACTACAAATTGTTTGAAATTGTTGAAGATTGTATCGACATTAAATACTAAAATAAATTACAGTATTTTGATAAATAAATTAACTGTAAAACATTGACATTGACAGAGGTTTCAGATACCTTATAGATTATGTTTTCAGCATAATACAATAGAGTTGTTAGTTTCTCAAGACTCTCATTGAGTCAATGTAGGAGTGGTTTCCCCTCATCAATCTATTACTTTAATTTTATCTTTGATTTTCCAAACTTTCATATAATTCAAATCCAGGACTCTTTCACTGATGACCATTCTACAACTCATACTATCTTCCAGCCGTAGTTAGTCCCCTCTACTAACTATGTTCCAGCTCAACAAAAATAATCATGGTTTAACTTTCCCATTGACTATATATGACAAATTTTTCACCATTTCATCCTCGCAGCAAAACCTTTTCAATGCTATTCTTGATGTGTAGGGTCCAATCTTTATTATCATCCACAGTTCTTTGAAGAAAAGAGATTATTTTTCTCACTCTGGCATTCTTGTCTATAGGTACCTTGCACGTGGTCAAATTTCTAGCTTACGGGAAGCCGTACCCTCCCCTTCCTCGTTTCTCCCTTGGGGGGGATGAGGGTACGGCTATCAAATTGAGAGTGTAGGAGAATACAGTGCAATTTATACAACGTCATTTGGGAGGAACATTCCGTAATCGCAGGCTCATAATTTTTGCTTGTTTCAAACATGGCGGCACGTTCACTGATCATCGATTTATTCAAAAGCCCCAATGGAACACTGTATGGTGTTCTAATTGCTGTCTTCATTGTGGTTTTGACTACAGGTTTGGCTTATGAATTTCTTCAGTTGCTTTTAATGATTAATTTTGTCAGTTGATCTTTTTGATAAATCTTGTTTCGCCTGTATGTTGATGACGTGTGCTCAAGTTTTCTTTTATCGATCGGTTCAAAATGGTAATTCTTTTTAAATGACGGGCAATCGGTCATTTGGCTTTGTTCAAATCAAACGCCTAAGCTATTGGTGACCTGATCTATCGACGGGACTAAAATAGATAAATTATGATTGTGAACACACAGTTCAATTATTTTAATTTATTTTCTTAAATAGGCCATTTTACAGTTGTGTACTTAGTTGCCAAGCCTTTGATTTGGAGTGAGGCTGAAGGTGACCTTGTTGTGATAGAGACCTGTATCTAGTTAGCATGACAACAAAGTGATTTACATTTGAAAGGCAGCGAGGTTTGTATTATAACAAGGTCACCCCTAGTGTCACTCCCGTTCAAAGGCTTGGCAACCAAGCACACAACTGTAAAAAGGACTATTCTAGCTGTTGTAGAGAAAGTAAAGTAATTATAATTTTGTCTCTCGCAGTCTTGTACCTTTTGTTCGGTAGGAGTCGATCCAGAGGACGTGGGATCTTGTTGGTTGGACTAACAGATTCTGGCAAAACACTGCTTTACAGCAGAGTAAGCTTTTTATTTCTAACCCTTTATTTCTCTATCAACAGACGACATTACTAACTATCCAGTATGTAGGGAGTGATCAACCAAACCCCTGATTCAGAAGCAGGTGTAACAATGCTCAATGTTAGTTAAAAGGATATAAAACCAAGAGAAAAATTTTACACTGAAGCTGTCTACCTTATATGTTTTATTGCTTTCAATCTATTCAGCTTAATGTCTCCATTCAGGAGGTTGACAAAAAATTATTAATTTAGACTTGATGACTACAATTCTCACAGGATCCTTGAGGTATTCAGTACAGTTGCGTTTTTCATTTATTTGGTATGTTGAGCAGACATTACTAGATTCTCATCAGAAATAGGAAACTATGGAGGGGTGTTATGATAAGGTGGCAATACACTTTTATTGATGAATTGTGTTATGTATATGTTATATCAATTTGAACCTTGCTGTTTTCAGCTGTCTAGTGGAAAATATGTGATGACCCACACTTCAATAAAAGAAAACAAAGGCCAATATAAATTAAAAGCCAACAAGGTACTAAGCTATCTCACTTAAGATTTCTTAACTGTGCATATATATTTAGAAAGCTAATTTTGTATTCTAAGTACAAAAAACCATTGAGTTAATTTTTAATTAATTTTTAATGCAAAGGAGACCATCATGTTTAAAACAGAAAAAAACATTTTGTGGTTCACACCAGAGGGAGGTCTGTTTATGAAAAGGAAGAACCAATCTTGACCAAGTAACTATCTCGGCCCTCAGAGCGTAATTCTGTTACCAAAATTGTAATAGGTTGTAATCCTGTTCTATTTCCGGGTCAACCAGTTCACTTAATTTTTTTCTTTGTTAGTTTGATTAACTGACTCCACTGACCTGTGTAATATTGTTGAACTTTTAGAGTGGCAAGACACTTGATCTAATAGATTTACCTGGGCACGAGAGAGTGAGATCAAGATTTGTAGAACAATACAAGAATCAGACAAGGTGCTGAGAACTTTTTGGAGACAAATTTGAATGTCCCTTTTTTGGAAGAAAAGAAGTGACAAACATTACTTGGTTTTGTACATGCCCTCTAACAGTTTTGATTTCTCTTTTAGAGGGATCTTGTTTGTTGTTGATAGTGTCAACTTTCCACGAGAAGCAAGAGATGTAGCAGAGTGAGTGACAAATTTTCTTCTGCATGGGGCTTCTCAAAAACACCAAAAAAGAATGTGGGTAATATCCAGCCATCTTGACCAAACAAGCTCGGTCAATAAAGGATTTATTGTATATCAAAATATTTCCCTTTAATGAGAATCAAAAATGACTTTTTTATTCATTTTATGTTTAAAAGAAAGTGTTTAACCTAAACTCATGATTTTTATTCATTTTATGTTTAAAAGAAAGTGTTTAACCTAAACTCATGATTAGACCAGCGATATGATAAAGTCCATTATTACTTCTTAGAAATTAATACCCACCCAGGGAGCCATCCATGCAACTAATGATGGTTTTGTAATCCACAACATAGATTGTACCATGTTTAAATGACCCATCATAAATGTGATGAAATGATACATGTGGTAATTAAGAACATTATGCTGCAATACTCTTTGCAGAATACTGGCAGAGTTTTAAACTATTCACTATGTATTGTACTGAAATGAAGTTAAAATTTTTTTTTACCTTTGTACAGGATAATGTATGACATTCTTGGTGACAAGCATTTATCCAAATCAGCTTCTTCTATCCTGGTTGCATGTAACAAACAAGGTGAGACTGTTCTGGAATTCTCATGAATAGTTACTCTTCAAACAACTGACCAGGGCCCAGTTGTATAAAGGGAAGATGACACCATCCAAGTGATGAATTGCTATCCAGCAGTGATAAGTGATAGCAAAACATACTGTGCTGTCCACCCGATAGAGATATATCCAGAGAATAGCATTATTCAACCTTGGAACAACTGGGGCCAGAACAACAACACAAATTCTCTGAAGGTTTCCGAAAATGAAGTTATTGATATTTCCTGCAACTTATATTCGCACAAATATCTCTCATACTGCATTTCATACAACCTTTTTGCTGTGGAAAATGTCCATAACAGGATTCCTTGAAAATTATTTGGTCCCTTAAATGGTTACCTTTTTATTTACTTGTTGTAAAGATGTAGCTCTGTAGTGACTCTGTCATGAATTTCTTTTCAGACCTGACAATGGCCAAGTCACAAAGTGTAATAAAATCTCAGCTGGAAAAGGAGATGTAAGAATCTTTCTTTTGACCATAATTTATTATGGCATTGGTTGGTGATCTGTCCAGATTTCACTGTTTGCATCGAAATGGTTGCATATTAGTGTAATTTACTTGCAAGATAATTTTTTTCACGTAAAAAGTTGACAGAGATAATCTGACAAAGAGCGAGCTTACCATTGGTCAACTGCTGCTTCTTGGGTTTAGCTAATGGCTCCATTTTGTTATTTATTATTTTATCAGCAACACGCTTCGCGTCACGCGTGCCGCTGCCCTACAAGGACAAGATGGCGGCTCAACTAATGATACAGCATATGTCGGGAAGAAAGGCAAGGATTTTGAGTTCAGCCATGTGTTACCGCTGACCGTGGAATTTGCAGAGTGTAGTGCCAAGGGCCAAGTAGAGGGAGAGGCTGACATCACCGCAGTGGAAAAATGGCTGGAAAAGATCGCTTGAACCTTACGTTCTGACAAACGATTGTACGCTGTTTTGGAAAAATGGCTGGAAAAGATCGCATGAATCTTACGTTCGTACAAACGATTGTACGCTGTTTTTTGTGAGAAAAACCGTGTGCAAGAAATTCGAAAATGAAGTAAAGTAAAGTAATATACAGGAAGATTTCGAAATTATATCCAGGATTACATTCTTTTTTATGCTCTGAAAACTCGTGCTACGTCCCTGCCAATTAGATGCTAAAGTAAAAACTACTCGCGAGTTGAGCACTCGCGTCATCCCGTACGTGAAGGTGTTTACAGCAATTTGCCCTTCGTCTAATTGCCTTCTAATGATAATATACTATACGCTGAAGAGCCGTTTTTGGCTTCACGCCGTGCATTTAACATTTGGTTTGTGCTCGAATCTCTTATCTCTTACTTCGATATTCGCGTAATTGTTAATGCAGCGATATTCTCACTCGCGCATACGGATAAGTGAAGGGGATAAAAAATAAAGTATCTTTAAACTTGTTTCAGCTCTTTGGTATTTTTACGGTAGTGTCAACCCTCGCCGATGAGATTTTCTCACTAGGATCTTTTGCAACTTCGCGCATGGCGCAATTTTGATTTACTTTGCGTATAACAACAGTCAGCAAAATGCCCACTGAGACGTTGATGAAAGTGACAATAGGTCACTTGTCGTTAAAGAGAAATATATATTTAAAAAAGTGAGCTAGCCTTTAAACTGGCTTCTTAGGGAACAGACTTTTCTTTCGACATACAAGAACAATGATGTAAGGCAAAGCCCTTGAGCCGTTCATGCAGGTACCTCGCACCTCCCCTCCACCTCTTTCCTATTGAAATGCACTTTTCCGAGGAATATGATAATTTTTTTTCTAAATTTTGCTGAAGCAAGAATTAACAGGAAATCAAAACCGAAAAAAGGGAAGAGGTATAAGGTGATACGCTCGGTGATCATCTTCCTCAGAAAGTTGCGAATTGCATATTACAATGCTTCTCTATTTTAGTTGAGGAAACCTTGAGCTCCGTTCAAAGGCGTATGTGTGTGATAGTCTTTTTACTTACTCCGTAAAGGCTTGGTCACTAATAAAAAAAGACGAGCAGATCGATTTACTAAGTTGTCATAGCAACTCCGAAGAAAGATTTGCATTTAAAAGAACTTAACATTAAATTTTCAACACAAACAGAGCATTTATGAAAAATAGCAAGTAGTCTAGAAGAAAAAGTCAACGCGGTTGCGGCGTATACTGTTTATCAAGAGAGCGCTTAGGTTATTCATGTAATCGAGCCATGAACGAAGATGAACCTTCGGTTTTCGAAACATCGGCAGATAATGTAAACCAAACAGAAATTTCTGTTAGCGACAGTTTTACGAGCAATCAAATCAATGGAGCATCAGCGCATTCACCTTCAAGAGAAACAGAAACAAACGAACCAAGCTCTACGGAAAGTGCACCTGGTTTTCCTAGAGGAAACATTGAAGCCAGTGACGATAATGATACAACGGAAACACCGCAATTTGAATCAAGAGCGGCGGCAATGTCGTCGCTAAATGCGGACGCTACTGCTAACTCCAGTTGCGTGACTGACGATGGAAAGATTGAAGAAAAAAATTCGCGGCCAGACCTAAAAGAAAGCCACGAGGGAGAGTTGAATGGAGTTCAGGTGACTGAAGAAAGTCCTTTTCTTCAGTCAGTGAAATATTTAGAAAAGCATCAAATTCTACGACTTTTCCAGGTGAGATTGGCTCGTGACAATTTCATTAATAAGCATCGCGGCCCACTAGCTTGATATTCTTTTCTTTTTTATCCTGTTAAGTCATGTTTCGTATCTCAATTAAACCTCTTTTATCTTTCTTCTTTTATACTTCGGCTAGCCGGGCTTTCTTGATTGTTTGTCTCTAATTTCAAATAACAAATAATCGTCCTTAATTTAACAGCGTAGTCTAGGTTATAAAGCACATAATAATCCAGGTTTTCATGCCCTAATGACGGTTTACATTTGAAGTAGCAGCGGTTCTCGCATTTGATTACTTCCAATTGGAAATTATAGCAAATTTCTTCAATTCATCAAAACTTTTTTTCTTGAGAAGAGTTTTAGTACTTAATATCAAATTAATAAATGTGTAATTCATGTCTAGCAGTTGTAAAAAGTCGAGTATTTGACTGCCTGAAGCAATGAGTGACCGACCAATGGCTGGATCACTAACGGCTGACTGACTCATAAATGACATGACTGGTTGACTCATTGGCTGGGTGGCTTACCGTTATAATGACTGGGTTAATCACTGAGTCAGAGTGACTGATTTGCTAACTTACTGACAATCTGGCATGTGGTCGGAAGGGCTGAATCAGTGATGACTAATGGTTATGACTGAATGACTGACTCAGTGCCTTATTGACCGACTGACTGACTTCATTGCATCACTCGCTGACTCGCTGATCAGGCTGATTGGGTGACTGACTGACTGACTGAATGGCTAACTAACTGATGACTCACCGGCCTACCAACGGTAAAACAGAAAATTCCTTGTCGGCAACTTTTCCCTTTTTCACAGAACTTCGCAGCCCAGATCGTTTACAAGAGACCTGATAACCCTCTACAGTACTTGGTGGATGAATTAGAAGGGTCCCGAGAAGAAGTGCGTGCGCATGAGCAAGTTCCAGTAACAAGCAAAGACTCTGATACACCAGATATGACATCATGACGCTTCCGTCCCTACCTGGAAGTCTCATAATGCAGTTGTAGTTGTGTAGAAGAGAATTATACTGAGATATCTTAAAACAAAAAAAAAAAAGAAAAACCAAAAAAGAAATTTGGATACGTAACCTCAAAGATCGAAGAGGATTGCCGTGAGGTTGAATAAAATGTTGAAATAATCTCTTTAATTAAAGAGGAAAATGAACACCAAAGAGGGTCTCAATGGAGTAATGGCTTTTATAGCCAACGGTTAACATCATTCCATTTTTTTCACCAGAAATTTTATTTATAATTAACTTTTTGTACGACTATCGGTTAAAATTTGTCAATTTTTACGCCTAACGGCGCGGCTACCCCATCGAGACCCTCACCAAAGAGGATTGAATAACGCAGAACAAAAAGTGAATCGTTCAGGATAGCAATGACTCACACCGAATGTAGATAAGCTTCATTAACATCACGTAAATTGAATAGTAGCAATAGTAGTAGCAGTAGCATTTTCAACCTCATTCCCAGAGCCTTTTCCCTTAGTTGGGGGTGGGGCGAGAAACAAAGGGAAAAGGCCCTGGGAACGAGGTTGTACTGTAATTTAAGTAGCTCAAATATTATAGTGTAAGTATTGTTATTAGCTCCATGTAACGTACAGTAATGTGAAAAGTATCAGTGTAATTAGTGTACAAAACAAAAAGCAAAAATAATGTAGTGATAATAACAAGAAAACTCACATAATTGTTACATGATCATACCCTTCATTAAAAATTCCATAATGTGAGTTTGTCCCAAATTTTCTGGCTACATGGGTGACAACAGTGATTCTAAAAGCAAAAGAAGTATTTTGTTGTAGCTGTCGAGGTGAATCTTCAAGATCCACAACGGAGATCACAATTCGTTCGCAACATCTGCTTCAGTGCATGCGCTTCTGTGTATTAGATCAGGGAAGAGGTTATGAGCGAGGGCGTAGGAGGGCCCAGGAAGTTGATCAAGGGTGTTTTAAACCCACCTTTCCATCCATAACGCATAACAATACTTCAACTCTAGAAATTATCTTCGATGGGTTCAATAATGTTTTAGTAATGCTAATCATTAGTCATTTTTGATTCTTCGTAACAAAGATAAAAAGTGGTGGAACTCCTGCAGAAAACATCAAATGATTTCGTTCCAACTGATATAATCGTGTGAAAGCTTTAGAATAAGGAATTAATCAATTTGAGTTGGAACCGCTGAGCGTCATATCGCGGTCATTGAAGAGGAATTTTGATGCAAATTTAATTTGTACCTATTTCTTCCCTTGAGAATAATCGTCGCATAGCAATTCAACAGCGTGACACGTGTGTATCTCATGAATATCACACACATCTTCGCAACTCAGTTCTGTTGAAGAGTTACGCTGCTTCACAAGAAACAATAACTTTGTGCAACAAACTTCCAGAAGCATTCAAATCGTTTAGTCGATGATTCAAATCAAAGAATCTAGAGATCTCCTGTATCAAGATCGCGAAGTGTGAAGAGTTAGTTGAACACGCGGCGATCCGGCGAATATTTGCCAACTTCTATCACAAGTCCTGCTAAGAACTTAGATTATCGTCTTCTTCGGGACGGTAACCTTTTAACTCTTCATCATTGACATATCTTGATTTACTTTCGTTTAAGTTTTAAGCTTCAAACAACCTAATCTAATCGAAAGATCCGGAAAGAGAAATTTTCATCATTGTCACGAGGCCAAAAAATGGCGGAATATCTGATTAGCGGTCACACAAGTTACGTACCAGAGGACGGCCTCAGCGCAAACCAGTTGTTTGAAAGCGGCCAAGGTTTAACGTACGATGATTTCCTTATTTTACCTGGCTACATCGATTTCACAGCGGATACTGTTGATCTTGCATCGGCGCTCACAAGAAATATTTCTCTGAAAACACCACTTGTTAGTTCACCGATGGATACCGTGACAGAATCTAAAATGGCGATTGCAATGGCTTTGCATGGAGGAATTGGTAAGAGAGGGCTTGATCTTGCTAGTTTAAATATACATTAATGGGAATTGTAATATAGGATAGATGGATTTTTAAAAAAAAAACAAACAAAATTTATAGACTAAACACTCATTAAGTCAAGTGCAATTCTCTCGATTATGTATGCTACAATTTCCAAAGTTTACTTTGTTAAGATCTGCTAATGAATCTGAATTGTTTTTATCGATGATAGAAATATCGCAGCTGTCGCTAATCATTATTAAAATGCGTGTTTCAACAGACTCTGGGAAAGAGTTTGTACATTCCCTGATTATGTTTTCGTGACTCGTGACGCACGTGTGATCATGTTTTCTGTTTAACTCTGTTTATAATTTCTTACCTCATCTTTATGGCACCCTTGAAAATAAATTTGTGCATGAACAATCTTTGAACCCTACTGTAAACTTATGAAATTGAATTGATTTTATTATTTAGTTAAAAGCTAAGTGTACTAGGCAGATCGCGTGATTGTTCGGCGCGATTTGAAGCCCTTGCTGAGTCCTCCGCGCGTGTTCGACCTTTTACTCGCGATAATGAATGAATGCCTTTGGCACTGAAATCTGTGGTCACACAATCCCATAAGCGCAACTTCTAGACAGAACGTGCGTTGTAGGCAAATTAGTCATTTTCTCCTTTGTTTGCTTGTTTGTTAGTCATTCGTTTTCTTCCATCTCCTCATTTTTTTGCTTTTGCAGGAGTCCATTACCCATTAATGGGCTCCTGGCTATCAGTTGGATTACTAAGAAATAGTCAGAAAAATATCTAAGGGGCATCAAAGCAAAAAGTGCTTACGAAGCCACGCACAATTAAGTAACTCAGGCGAACCTAAGCATCTTCGGAGAACGAATGTCCAGCTAATTTGCGCTTCTTGGAAAGACGCCTGCAATACACACCACCTGTCAGCTTGGATTTATTCGGGTATTTAAAAATATTGATGATGTAATGGATTAAGTATTGATGTCGACTACCCGTCGGTTATATTTTCATGGTGACAGTTGCAGTGGCTAATAGTTTACAGAATTTGTCGCTGTAGCGACATTCTAGAAATAACTTTATATGTTCTCTCGCTAATCTAATATTTATTTCAAGGCATTCTCCATCATAACTGCAGCGTGGAATTTCAAGCCAACGAAGTACGCAAAGTGAAGAAGTTCGAACAGGGATTTATAAGCGATCCCATCGTGCTCAGCCCGCGTAACACCGTGCGTGACGTCATGGAAATTAAAAAGAAACATGGCTTTTCTGGAATACCGCTGACAGGTGAGAAACTGGCACCTTTTTAAGGTATTCTAGGGCGGGTCAAAGCCCTAGAGGTTTGTATCGGTCTCTCGTTTAATGCTTTGTAACTCTTATGTGCGAGTCATTCAACCATTTACTCTTCTATCTCGTTTGTCTGTTTGTTTGTTTCCAGATACCGGTCGTCTTAGCGGTGTCTTGGTTGGAATTGTCACATCACGTGACATTGATTTTCTGGCTGAACATGAATATCATTTGAAGCTGGACAAAGTTATGACACCGCGTGATCAGTTGATTGTGGCCCAGGCCGGATGCACTCTGAAAGAGGCCAATCAAATCTTACAGAAGAGCAAAAAGGTCAATGTTTATTCTTTGTGGACCGAGGTTGCACATCCCTCGACACTTCATCTCCCTAAGATAATGTGCATATAAGCTCTATCGAAATTATTTATGTATTGAGTGCTTTTCGATTGAGTGTCGTAAAACCAAAACCAAAGTAATGACAACGGCCAATCAGAAGAAAGGAAAATGCCTAAAGGGCCGGCAATGAGAACTCAAAGTAAAATCAACCAAACTGCCTAAAGCGCGGTAAAACGCGGGCGACCGACTCGTGACTGGTTTAAGTTTTGCATCTGATTCGTTGAGAGAAGGGGCGGGTCTTTTCTGGACCAATCACAAAGCGAAGTGAAGCAAAATCAAAGCAATCCCGACGCTCAATTGAAAATTGCTCTCTCTCTCTGAACCATTTGACCTCGTTTGATATTCATTAAAATGAATTTTCGATTTGGAAATAACATCGGTTTGTAAAACACTTAACGCATTTTTACCTGTCATACAAAGTGTGCCCATCTGTAAAGAAAGTTCAGAAAGCATTTCATTCACCTCTTTCTATCTTGTAAGTGAAGGCAGAATCCTCTTTATAGGCATACAGTTGCAAAAAGGCCGAAAGCTGAACCCGATTTTATCCCGAGCATCGTCCGAGCGCTTCCGTTGCGTCAAGCCTATGTTCGCTGCGTTAAAATGACATCTTTTTAATTGTCTCCTTTGTAGGCCAAGCTTCCCATCGTCAATGATAAAGGAGAGCTAGTGTCTCTCATGGCGCATACAGATCTGAAGAAAAACCGCGATTTCCCATTGGCGTCCAAAGATGGGAAAAAACAACTTTTAGTCGGAGCTGCCGTGGGCACGCGTGAGGAGGATAAACTCAGAATTGAGGCTCTCGTTCAAGCTGGGGTCGATGTTGTTGTGCTGGACTCGTCCCAAGGAAACTCCATCTTCCAAATCAATCTTTTAAAGTACATCAAATTAAACTACCCGGATCTACAAGTATGTTTTTAGAACATTTTAAGAAAATGTATTAAGATTATGAACGCGCTCAGAGAGTGGGGATTGGGTTGTAGTGAGAGCGCTCGCCTCCCACCACCGTGGCCTGGGTTCGTTTCCTGGACCTGGCGTCACAAGTGGGTTGAGTCTGTGGGTGGTGCTTTGAGGGTTTTTCTCCTGGTCCTCCTTTTTCCTCCTCCCTGACAAAGCGACATTCCAAATTCAAATTCCACCTCGAAACAGTGGGCAAGAAGAGCCACTTTGCGGAATGTTCATTGCTAAATTCCCATCAAATTTCTATTCTATGCACGTGAAACTGTATGTGGGTCTAGAGATGCTCTTTTTACAGTTAGCCTCGTTGGTTTACTGTGATCCTCGTGTATTGTCCTGTTTGGACTTCATTTGAATCCGTTGTAACTGTTCACTTCCTTTCGCAGCTTGCCGTAAAATCCCTGTCTCGTACTGTACTAATTAGGAAACGCGGTGGCCAAAATAATGAACGTCATTTTCTTCTCTCCTCTCTCTTGAAGGTAATAGCCGGAAATGTCGTAACCGCTGCTCAGGCCAAAAACCTGATAGACGCAGGCGCAGACGCTCTTCGAGTGGGAATGGGAAGTGGGTCAATTTGTATTACGCAAGAGGTTATGGCAGTCGGTCGGCCCCAGGCCACTGCTGTATTCCGAGTGGCAGAGTATGCACGAAGGTTTGGAGTGCCTGTGGTTGCCGATGGTGGAATTAGAAATGTGGGTCACATTTTAAAGGCGCTGTCACTTGGAGCATCGACTGTCATGATGGGTTCGCTCCTTGCTGGGACCACAGAGACACCTGGAGAGTATTTTTTCTCGGATGGCGTTCGTCTGAAGAAGTATCGAGGTAAAGACTGCATATCACCGAGTACTTTTTTTTATAATAACACATAAAGCCAATGTGGACTCAAAGAAAAAACGAACAAACTGCCATGGAAAAACGCGTGCGACCAAGTCACGGTTGATTTAATTGCAATTTACAAATAAGTGTCGAAGTTAATTTTTCTTTCCTTCACTCTGTGATCGGTCGATAGAACTCGCGTCACCGTCTAGACCGATCAGGTTCAAAACTGAAACCACACGTTACTTGGTCGCTCGTGTTTTCCCGCGTTTCAGAGAGTTTGCTTGTTTTTGCTTTGAGTTGTTATTGGCTTCCTGTGATATTTTTCTTTGTTCTGATTGGCTGTTGTACTTTGGCTTTGGTCTTACGACAGTCAATCAAAAAGCACTCTGACTAGTTTCGCATCTAACTGGTTGAGAAGTTGGCGCGAAATCCCTTAGACTAGTCTCAAAGTATAGAAAAGCAAAACCAATGTAATATCGGATTACTTTCGAAGCTCGGTTAAAATTGCTCTACGGGTTTGACCCCCGGAAGGCCTTCTCACGATATCTTATTCACCTTGGGACGCACTTGGCGATATTTTTCATCGATGGGGGAATTTAGAATTCTACATTGACGGAAAGCTTTTTCCGTTTTTATTTCCGACAATTTAAAAATTTCGATGGCTTTCCCCTCTTTTAATTTTCCAATTCACAGATGTTAAGGAAATCGCAGTTAAACCTTCTGTCAATAGATTGAGTGATGTAGAGATAAGAAGGAACTTAAAACAATTTCCGTTATACTTATACAAGATTTTGAAAATAATACGCTGTCTTAATGTTCGCAGTGCACTGTTTGGAAAAACCCTGCAATGAAAGCGTGCTTGCATGAAAACGCTGCGTATCTTTATCTCGTTTCTCGCCTTCATTACTTTACCTGTTTAAAAAAAAAATGCACAAAGTTTTTTTTTAATCAAAGGAAGTAACAAATTTGCTGCTTTCTCTTGCGTGCAGAGAACGTATTTATTAACTCAGAAGGTCACCAAGGCTATGAACAGTTCCGTTCGCTAAATGACCACCCGAAAATTAAGTTCGTGTTAAACCTGGCAATCAAAGCCAACGAGATAATTTTTATCCTCGCAGAAAGCCTGTTTATCCGTTAATTAGGTTTAAAAAAAGATGAGAAATCTTTCCGGTGATATTAATCAAAATATCTCTGGGTGTTTTCTTTACCTCTTGTGTTTCATTGAGCTCACTAAATATAAAACTCGTTGATCTATTTTAAATGGTATGCCAATTGCGCAATGAAAGACAATGTAAGTTGGTATAGGTGACAACAGACACCTTTTCTCCGCAAGGAATTTGACTAACCGCCAATTTTCCATTTCCGAAATGCCCGCCTTCAATTTGATATATGTTTAAGGTTAGTGTGAGGTCTTTCCAGGCGTCTTTTCATTCCTTGAAACCTCAAAGAAGCTTCGGTTGATATATAAATAGTTTTTTTTTGATTTACCAAATTACTCAAAGGTATTAATGGCATTTGCGAATAAAATTTAATGATTTCTCGAATCAGAGTGTGAATCATGTCCTGACGACATAGGTTTTCACCTGGCTTTAACCTTTCCGTTATAAACACATTAATTGACAATATTGTCTTCTTAGAATCGGTGGTAATTCCTTTAATTTCCTGCGAGAAAAGGAAATTATATCCTTTTGTTCCAATATTTATGAATAAGTTGGCATATGATAAATCAATAAACGTAAGTTATTAGAAACGTGTCAAGGAGCTTAGCGCCCTCCAGGTGATATAATTTCTCATAACGGTTTTTTCTCTGTAATCTGTTACTCAATAACGCAAGGACTTCAAATAAATACTCACAGAGCTACTAAAACGTAAGTTATTAGAAACGTGTTAAGGAACTTAGCGCTCTCCAGGTGATACAATTGCTCATAACGGTTTTTCTCTATAATCTGTTAATCAATAACTCAATGTCTTCAAATGAATACTCACAGAGCTACTATGATTGTTGAATTGATGATGGAAAGGTTCAAAGTGCCTGTATCACAAATACTTACAATAGATGGAAACATAAAGTCTTGTTAGCGTTGTTCCCCCCCCCCCCCACCGTCGGGGGTGATATCGCTTTTCGTGGCGAGAACTGACAAGGGGTGTTGGTATTTCGCTGAATGGGATGGTATTCCTTCAGAGGTAACACTTTGCATTCTGTCTCGTCCAGACCTCGTGCGCGTGCGCCAACCAGACTAACCACAAGCTTAGCGGCCGTGGCTCTCATTTGATGGATGTTTTAATCATTCTTTTTCTGAGTCTGACGGTAAAAACGAAAATGCACAATGAGATTCACAATTATTTGTTTTTAAAGTAAAAACTGAGATGGCGAATGTTTGAGCTGAAATACAGAAAGGTGTTAAATTAAACTGTCACGAACATGGAACAATAAAAATATTCTAATCATCCAAATCTTGGCCTTTCGATTTCTCTCTCAGCCTTCACATTGTCGGTAGGAAGCTTCGTCACTGAACTGGGGAACGCTCTTTGACGAGGAAGACCGTATTATCGTCGGTTGATTGAGACTAGTCATTTTCTGAAAGTTCCTACAACGCGATATCATCAGTTTTTTTTTTTCCGTTGAAAAATGTCTTCAGTGACAAGGCAACCCTTAAATGAAAGTTTTTCAGAGTAAACAAACAGCATAGAGGCAAGGACGGGTAAGAATAAGCCAAATAGGAACACAGATTGCTAAAAATGACGAAGATTCACACAGATTACAAACAACCAGGTTGAAGGGGGGTTACCTCTGATGGAAAGCCATCCCACCCAGGGTAATATCATTTCGCTCTGACGAAGGGCTAACACTCGAAACTTCAGCTTTGAAACCCTTTACGCTGGTCAATTTACATTTTGAACTCAGTTGGTAAAAAACCAAACTACCTTGTTACCCCCACCGACGCAACACCATAGTTTCTTTAGAAATTTACCCCCTCTAATATCAACAACACTTTATGAGTCCTATCTCTTCCAACTAAGGGAAAGAGATTGATGTTTCATGATTAACAAAACATGAGGTCTTATTTTTAACTTATGCATTAACAATCCAGCTCTTATGCCTCTTCTCTTGATAGGTATGGGCTCACTGGACGCATTGGAGCACGGATCAAGCCAGAGTCGTTACTTTGTGGAAAGCAACAGACTGAAAGTAGCGCAAGGGGTGTCGGGAACGGTGCCAGACAAGGGAAGTGTCCATCGCTTTGTTCCATACCTCTACGCGGGTATTCAACATGGCTGCCAAGATATGGGCACCCAGAGCCTCACCGCCACTCGATCCATGATGTACAGCGGTCAACTCAAATTTGAAAAAAGGAGTCCGTCGGCACAAAAGGAAGGAGGCGTCCACGGTTTGCATTCATACGAAAAGAGGTTATATTGATGGTCAGAACAATATTTGTGAACATACTATGTGGCGTTGCTGGAAACTTTCGTCACAGTTGCTTGCGAAGTGACCTAAAGTTGTTGTCTTTAATGCACGAACGGTTTTACCTCACTGTCGAAGTGACACACTTTACAGTTGTATGATACTTCAACACCTTTCCTTGGTTTCGAAAGTTACCCCATCGAAAGCTTGTTCCTCTTGTCACGGCGCTACGTGAGAATCAAAGACTCACATAGAGAGTTCCTTACCAGTTTTATAATTGTGCGAAATGTATCGCATTTGCGTGATGCTCAGTTACTTTGAGAACCTTAGCTGAATTGACTGTTGTGTGACATTAATTGAAACTGAACTGTTGTGTGACTTGATACGAGTCTTTGTGAGTGTCGTTATCTCTGTCCAGTTTTTCTAGGGCGCGAACAGAGAATTATAGGATGTCTGTGCTGTTTCGAAATGTTAGATTTAATTACGACTAAAAATTTTGATTTCTATTACACTAGTGAAATCCGTTTTTTAAACATTATTGTACAGAGTGATCAATTCAAAGAAAACACGCGAGCATATTCCAAACCTTTAAAAAGTGTTTCGATTAAGGAGTAACAGGGACGTACGGGGCAGGCGCAGTGTTAGACAGTAATTGTGTTGAGAATTTTATAAACTGAAATAGGTGCAATTACACCATATGAGCCCATAAGTCACGAAATGCACCTTGAACTTGCAGACTTATAATTAGTAAATGACCGAATGACCGCCATATTAGCGCATTTAAGCTGGTTGACGTTAGGAGGGAATTGGGAAGGGGTGATAGTAGCCTGTGCCACGCCTTCAGATCGTAGAGAGGAGCGAAAAGTAAAAAGCGGGCGTGAAGACATCAGCAAACAAGCGGACGCAGAGGTTGCAGTTGCCAAGGTAACGCTCCAGCGTAGTCTGCGAACGTGTTTTATCGCGTGTCTATATTTTGATCTTTACCACTGACTGGGGTGGTTGCAAGATTTTTGGGCTTGGCTAAAAGAGAAAATATGTTCTCTTTGTGTAAACTTCGCCATAAATTTGCTCCTTCCTTCATTTAGTCGCCATTTTTTTCTTTGTCCGTCAAAACTTCATTCGACGCTTTGCTTTCGCTCTAAGACTTTAAATCCTGAGAATGACCTGACCAGCAAGTAATTTCTCTCTAGCAATTATGTTGCCGAATCACTTATTGAGGTCATGGGAATAAAGAAAATGATCGGCAACTTAAGGAGCTTTGTTGCTAAACAAATTCTTCTTGTTAGTACCAGAGAAAATACATAAAGAACAGCCTGGAGAATTTTGGTATTAGGGTGTAAAAAGTTCAGTCCTCAACTCGTTCAGTCTCTTTCTCTTACTCATTCTTTTTCATTCGATGATTGCTTGACAATTTTTTTTTGTTTTGAGTCTCGTAACACGGACAAAAGAAGTAAATATTTTGAATTTTTATTTCTCAAAATCGACACTCTTTAGCTATAATTACAATGCGTCAACGTCAACGTATTCTATTAAATTCGCGGCAACCTGCACCGAGGAAGGCAAAACGTTTATCTTCAGCGATAAACCCGTGAAATCTAGCGGGGGCAACATGAATCTCCTGAAAGAGGAGACCTTCTTTCCAGTTTGTCCGGCGTGGTGTGAAACAATCGCGCACGCGCGCTCATCCCATGCCGAGATGGTTTGTGTGGGCGAGTGTCTCGCAATCCTCATCGTTCTGAGCGCGAAATTCCAAATATGGACTATTCTCGGAAAGAAGGACTGCTCGTCCCCTAAACATGCGAAAGCTATAACAGTTGCCTCATGGTTTCTTTCTGAACAATATCAAATAAAGTCGCAAGAAATAAAGTATTTATAAATATTCTCTAATTTACAAGCTATTTTCTCACCTAATCTCATGTAGATCAGGGCTGTCGAACTTAGTTCTACACGAGTTTCTTTTTTACAGACCAGATATGTATAAAAAAAATTAAAGAGCGTTTTTTAAACGCTTTTGACTCTAAGCGATAATTTTTGTCGACTCTTTTAATATAACTAAAAGAAATGTCGTCCCGATTTATTCGAAGCCTCCCATCACAAACGCGCACAAAACACCTTGCCAATTTACAATTTAACTCTGTTGAATAGAACGGGATGCACAACATGTACGTTCTAGAAAAACTCTGAAAAAAAAACAAAAAATACCAAAGCTTGTATACACACAATTCGAAAACAAGCTTACTTCCTTTGAAAACATGTTTTGAGTTTGTGGTTCTGTGATGAAATACGACAGACATTTTTCACACTCGAAATACTCCCAGCCACATTTTTCCGTGGATAAAAAAAATGTTGAATTGTTTTGTACGCACGTACGCTTAACACGCGTTGACAGAAGGCGGAAATGCTAAAATCTTGATCACGATTTCCGCTGGGTTAGTAAAACTGTGATAATAGATCAAGTTAGCGACTAACGGGCGTTACTCACGTACCATGTGATAATGAAAATGCGTTAAATCCGCCATACCTTGAGAGATTTGAGGTCTTTAAATAACTTTGGTTCGACTGCTAGACGAAATGAAGATCACCTAACGGAAATAGTCTAATTGTGACACGTATTACAAGTGAACTTCGCCCTGGCCATGTGGCGTAGCTATAAGGGTCGTGAGATTTTCCCCACGGAAAAAATTCCCTCTATGGCTTTCACGAGATCTATAAATGTCGCTGAACTTTCCTGGGACTACTTTTTTTACTTAAAAGATCAAATATTTTCACCCAAGTCGTGTTCAAATGGATCGTCACTATGTTCTGAGTTTCCCTTTCAAACGGATTGAACCCTGTTTAACTTCAAACTATCTGAGCATACGAAACTACTAAGCAACCCTGGATGAAAACGATATCGTCTGGCAGGAGATCTTCGTGCTCTTCAAGGTGTATTCAGCTTTCAATTCGAGGTGCCGTTTTCCATTTCTAAATTCTCAGTGAGTTTCTTGATCTGCGCAATGATTTTAAGGGCGGGTCCAAGTCTGATTGACATTCGATTCAACAAATGATCTTCCTGCATCAAAACAAGCGAATGGCCATCAATGTGTTCCGTCCTGAACGCATGCGCAATTTCAGTAGACCCCGTCAACGAAGCGACAAACTGATATACGTCATCAACTGTCCATTCCAGTACATTCTCGTTCAAATCTGGTCGAAAACGAGGCACTAGCTTGTGAGGTGATACTCGTGACGATTCTTTAGGGTTCGGAGAGGCTTTGGGTGTGGCTGTTGGACTTTGCCTTTCCTCTGAGCCTGTATTCACTTCAGGACTTCTTCGGATCACACAATCGCGGTCAGCGGTCAGTTCCTGAGAGTGTCGTTTTTCGCTGTCGACTTCAGTTTCTTTCTTATTTTGGCAAACCTCAGGAGCAGGTCTCTCATCCTCCACGTTCGAAATCCAGGCCTTCGTAACATAACTATTGTCTTCCGTGTGACCATTGACCAACGGTGTGTTCCTGGGTGATGAAGATCTTGACCCCCGATGCATGGACAACGACGAATGTGAGACTGGGAGGCCTTGGAGCCCAGCGCGGGCGGCTGCCGCAGCAGCTGCATTGGCTTGGATGAATGAGGTTTGGAAAGGAATGTTCTGCGTCAGTGGGTTGTGTTGAGTAGGAGGCGTCAGAAGTCTGTAGTGCATTAGGCTCTGGTGGAGGGCAGATGAGACGCCCGGCAGCCCGCCACGGAGGGCTTGATGGTAAATACTCGGGTTGTGAGGTGAAGCCAACAGCAGGGGATCTGGTAACAACCTCGGCGAGTTGTGAGATGGGCTTACGAGAGGGGAAGGGCTGGGTAATTGAGTGAACGGGATGAATGGTTGGCAGTTAATTGATTGTGGTTTTTGTTGTTGCTTGGAGTTCGAGCCTGCTCGCGCGGTCAGTTCCCGCGTTAGGATATCCTGGTTAACTTGGTTTTCAGCGGCTCTCTCGTTGTGCGAATTTAACGCATCTAGGAGGACCAAAAAAAGGAAAATGTTTTTACATCCCTCAGGCTTTCAGACAAAAGTTAGAGAGCCACTTTACCCAATGTTCCTCACTTCATTTTTGAAATTTCTTATCAGCAGCCGAACCCTTTCTCGTTACCCTTAGCGAGTCTTAAAACCCACCTTACTCCGTTACGGAGTCACAAGTGAGACCAAGCTTTTCTTTCACGAGGCAATCTGTGCATACATTTTTTCTGTGAGACCAAGCAAATGAAAGTTAAGCAATAAACCTTGTCCAGTTCGAGATTGCAACCAATATTTAACCTTTTAAACCCTCAAGAATTTATTGCGAATTCTCCCCTCTAGTTGCTACTTACGTCCATGTAAATTAGTAACGAGAAATTAGCAACTACTAGCTGCTAAGTTTGAGTATTCTCGTTACGTGTGTGATGGATGATATATGTACATGGTAGTCATGATGGATGATATATGTACATGGTAGTCATTTTGGTTGAATCCTTGGTGCTAAAGTTCACCTTGGTTTTTTTTTTTAGGAGAGATTGGGGATAGAGTTTACGACCACACAGAAAGAAACTATGTTGATCTGTTCTCTCCTACTAAGCGTTTCACATTTTCGAAACAACTCAAGAGGTATCACACCAGGGTTTTAAGGGCGCCAAGCATGTGATCATTTTTTTATTTTGTCTCAGGAAATAGCCATAACAATGTTCTCCTCACCTTGGTGGACCGCCCTGAAAGCACTTCCTCTAGCTGAAGCTCCTTGGGGTCCCCCTGGAGATCCCCCAGTCTCTTGCGAGGGAGAAATGCGAGGCGTATGATCTCTTCTAGCTTGCTTGGAATTATCAACAACAGTAGCATTTACCCATTCCGGGGGGATATCCCTGAAGAAGAACGTGTTCCTGGGGTCAAACTGGAACCTATCTGCTGCGGAAGGGAAACAGATGGGGGACGAATGTAAGTTAAAAACCAGTTGTTGCGAGACAGACAAATCCAATGTGGCTGGGAAAAAAAGGGAACTTCCTCCTTACTCGGTCTGTGCTTTATTTGAACGTACTCTTTTCCTCAACTATTACTGCCATTTGTTCAGTGCAATCTAATAGCAAATACTACAATAAGACCAGAACACTGCTTTTTTTCTATAAGGCAATGAAATGAAAATTTTATGAAGCGTTGCGGCTCAGTTTATTAGTAAAATAAGAGGCAAGCAATAATTTAAGGCGGGCGTGTGTTGACAGATTTCCACCGCCCTCATCAGTATACCAAAGTTCAGGCATGTCCATCACAAGTCAATTATCAGACACCCTGGCTTGTATATTGCATACAGCCAAAACAGAGCAGCGTTAACTTGCAGACGTAAATCCTATCACACTTGTGAGACAGCAAATTAACCGTCATGGATATGTCTGTCATATTCTTGTATTCATAGCTTTTAGAAAAGGATTTCTTTGCAGACATCCATACTGATTTGATTTTTGCTCATGTATATGTTGTCATGGCAACAACAAAAGCCCGGTCTCACTGAAGCGC